TTATGCTTTAAGCCTTCTACCATTAACACATTCTCAATAAAAAAGTTTTTAAGACTTCCAATCATACCTAACCCAACCATCTTCATTGTGGTGTTATCTCCAAGTGTAACCTTGCCTCCACTTCTGGCTTCCAGCGATATGAATTGTGCAGTAGCTCCAGTCATATGCTTTGAGCATCCGCTGTCCAGGTACCATATGCTCTTACGAGGTCTTGTGTGAGAGCGATCCTATAAAATTATCAAATATTAGACCTGGGAACCCAAACAAGTTTGGGTTCTTCTTTTGACAATTTATAATCAGATGCATGTATGATATGTCTAGGTTTATGCATCTTAGGTCTCCACACCAAATAAGTTTTCTTCTTCAAAGTACAAGTATGAGTTATATATCCAAACAATCCATAATTATTATATTTGACTCTTGGAAATGAATTCCTAAGTCTTTTACTATTCATCTGTCTATTCAGGGATTGCATAAATTTAGGATACAAAATAGGATTCGTGAAATCTTCAAGTCTTGGGGGTATCTTATTTTTCTCGAGAGCTTTTATCTTCAATTTGTAAAATGAATTCATTTCTTCCAAAATTCGATTCGTATATTTAATTCGATATATTTTGCTCTCTGATTCATCCTTATTATCTTGATTTCTATTTGAAGTTCTGAAAATGATGATTTTAAACTTTCATGGTTCTTATTCAAATCGTCAAACTCATCAAGTAATTTCATGTGGTTGTCATCAATTAAAGCATGATCTTTACTAAGGATCTCTTGTTCCTTTTGTAGTTCCCGAAATTCTAAGTTCAGACTAGTATGCATTTTCTTTAATTTTCTATATGCATCATGTATGTGTTCAGAGACTTCAAAAAGTTCATTGTAAGTTAAGTCGCATACCTCTTCTTGATCTAACTGATCAAGACTATTGGCTATTAAGCACAGATTAGTGACTTCCTCTTCCTTTTCAGTCTCCGACGAGCCTGAAGCTGAGTCCACACAGAAAGCTCTTTGAAATTTCTTCTTGCACTTCTTCACAATTAGTTTCTCCTCTATCTTCTCCTTACTATGAGTGGTTTTGAGTTTTGGGCAATCTGACTTAATATGTCCAGGTTTCCTGCACTCATAGCAAATAACATCATTTGAAACCTTAATATTTTTATTAAATTTACCTCGATTCCATTACTGTCGTCTCTTTTGCTTCCTCTTTAGAAAGCTTTTGAACTGTTTAGTCATCAGTGCGATGTCGTCTTGATCCTCAGGTTGTGAGAGTTCACTCTCTGACTCCTCCACTTTCAGTGCAATATTCTTCTCCCTTTGGTTCACCTGCATTAATATTTCTTTGACTCACACTTTCACCTTGCTCGTAAGCAATTAGTGATCCAAGAAGATTGTCAATAGAGTAATTTTTTAAATCTTTAGACTTTATAATTGCAGTTATTTTAGCATCATAAGCAGTAGACAAACAACAAAGTATCTTATTAACCATATCAGCATTCGTTAGTTCCCTACCAAATGCATGTAAATAGGTGACTATTTGTGTGAATCTTGTGTATATGTCAGAAATAGATTAATTAGGTTTCATGCGAAATAAATCATAGTCATACAACAAGATGTTAAGTCTAGATTGTTTAACTTCATTAGTCCCCTCATAAGTTATACAAAGTCTATCTCATATATCATTTTCACTCTTGCAAGTGAAAACCCGCATGTAATCTTCGGATTTATGAGCACAAAAGAAACTATTTAAGCATTTTGCATTAAGTTGTGCTAAGTCACGTTCTTCTACTGTCCAATTCGCAAAAGGTGTTTCTACTCTAACTCCGTCAACTAATCTAATTGGTTTTGTATACCCTTCCTGAACTAAGATCCAAATACGGTAATCAAGTAACTGTAAAAATGTAGACATGCATGTTTTCCATAAATCAAAAGGAATATTATCGAATAATGGAGGTCAAGTTATAGAGTAACCTTCATGTGTGTTTCGGTTTTCAAATGTAGACATGGTCGTTAATCAAAAAGTAGTCTAAACTTATGATTTTAAAACTAAACTCTGATATCACTTGTTGAAACTTGTTCAATATAAATTAGGTTGTTAGACCTAAGCTTATATCCCAGCGGCTAACCAAGAGGGGGTGAATTGGTAATTTTAAAATTTCCTCTTATTAAATTTTAAACTGATAAAAACTTATGATAAATTTTGAAAAGTATTTTTCAATCACAGATCACACAAAAATAGTAAAATAAAAAGCAGCGGAAAAATAAAAAGGAACGCAAGATTTATAGTGGTTCGATCAAACACGACCTACATTCACTCCCCGGAGGCACCCTCCGAGTATTGCACTAATACCACTAGTGACTCTCCTTTTGCCCCCACAACAAGGCGGAGAAGCCTTCATAAAACTCTCTTCTACCACTACCCGATACGGCAGAGAACCGTCATCCTTTTACACCCTCCAAGTGTAGGCAGAATACCTCCCGCTGTTCACACTCTCCAAGTGTAGGCAGAGAACCTTCACATTGTTCACACTCTCTAAGTGTAGGCAGAGAACCTTTCATCCTTTAACACTCTCTAAGTGTAGGCAGAGTACCTCCCGCTGTTCACACTCTCCAAGTGTAGGCAGAGAACCTTCATGATGTTCACACTCTCCAAGTGTAGGCAGAGAATCTTTTGTCTTTTCACTCTCTCCAAGTGTTGGCAGAGAATCATTCATCCTTTCACACTCTCCAAGTATAGGCAGAGTAACTCCCGTTGTTCACACTCTCCAAGTGTAGGCAGAGAACCTTCACGCTGTTCCCACTCTCTAAATGTAGGCAGAGAACCTTTTATCCTTTCACACTCTTTAAGTGTAGGCAAAGAACCCTTCGTCCTTTCACATTCTCCAAGTGTAGGCAGAGAACCTTCACGCTGTTCACACTCCACGAGTGTCGGCAAAGAACCGGATCTTCTTGAAAGATCTTCTAACGAGAAATCTAGAATGACGAGAGAAAAGAGTAAAGTAATCACAATTAACAATTGGAGATGCTTACCTTTGAGTACTAAGTGAACCCTTCATGTTTCAGTAGTAAGAATCCTCCTTCAAACACTCTCTCACACTCTCTCCTTCAATCTCCCTTCAGTTTGCACGAAGATCAATGAGCAAAAAGATTACAAGACAGTTTACAATGGACCTTTTATATGAAAGACACGAAAAACCGTCCAAAAACCACAATTTTTAATTTCTGTTCGTACTCGATCATCCCGTACGATCGTTATTTCGTACGTACGAACAATGTAAAACTGTTGCGTACGAACTCTATGTGCATTGGGACGAAATGACTTCGTACCCGATCATCGTCCCGTACGAACTATGTTCGTCCGGTACGAACAGTTATTTTAAAGCCTCATTGAAAACATAACTGCATACGGTCCATATGTTTAAAGAACATAGAACATCGTCCTGGGACGAATGTTCATGTTCGTCTGGACGAACAGTACGAAGCTTGAAACCAGAGCACTTCGTCCGGGGACGAATGGGCAAGTTCGTCTGGACGATCAGAACAAAGCTTGAGTCCAGAGAACATCGTCCTGGGACGAATGGGGTATCTAGTCTGGACGAACTGTTCAAGTCAAGGGTTCAGAGAACATCGTCCTAGGACGAAATGAGTAAATTGTCTGGACGAATAGTTTAAGTTGAGAAATCAGAGAACATCATCCAAGGATGAACAAGATAAATCGTCTGGACGAATAGTTCAAGTCATGAATCCAAAGAACATCATCCTGGGACGAACGAGACACTTCGTCTGGACGAATAGTTTAAAGTGAGAAATCAGATAACATCGTCCAAGGACAAATATCAAACTTCGTCTGGACGATCAGAACTTGGAAAAATTTTATTCACTTTCTGTTCGTTCAATTGCTCTGCGAGGGGTATAACTGACCTGATCGTCCCGTACGAACATGATTCGTCCTGTACGATGAGTATAAGAAATGTTGACTTTTAATGATCTCCCCGAGTGTGTGTATGCTAGGTTGCTCAATTACAATCACATTCACTCATACTCAAAAAGTGAAAAATACAGACTTTAATTTACAAACTATCTTATGCTGAATTTTGATTTGAAGTCTTCATCAGTTTAGAGTACGATTTTCCTGAAATGTTAGACCACACAAGAGCGAAAACAATTCTTCCAAAAAGTGTTAGGAGAAAATAATAATTAAAATAATAATATTTGGAATCATCAAAACTATACAAATTGCAAGAATGTAAAACATGCAAATAACAACTCTCTTAACACCCCTAATACTACGTGGGTGCTTTAGGGATTACCCACCTCGCCGCAAGCGTCGCACCGATTTCCCTCCCCCCGTGCTACGTGAGCACGTAAGAAGGTTTGACGGCTCGCCGCAAATGCTGAGAGTGGGATTTTTAAGTTAGAAATTATACCTTTGCAACCAGACCGACGACGATGGCAATAATTAGTAAATGATAAAAGAACGCCCCTCTCTTTTTTTCTTTTTTTTTCTTCTTTTTTTCTTTTCTCTTTTTTTTATCATATATATATAATTAAATACACCTAATTACCTAAAAAGGTTGAGTATAAGAGACTGGCAGGAGGCGGCTAGAGCTTGGGTTCGGTGGGATCAAATGGCTAGGGTAGAGGAGGAAGTGGATGGTTCGACTAGAACAGGAAGGATTGGTTCGGCTACAATAGGGAAGGAGGCGGAGACTTGAGATCTAGCATTTATGGCTAGATTGGAGGAAGATGGGAGGAAGAGGTGGCTGATATGGGTGATTCGAAGACAGGAAGTCGGGATGGAGACCTTCGGCTATGGAGGTCATGGGTATTTCAAATAGGATTCGAAAATGGAAGATGAGGTCGACGGAAGATCTGGCAATCGAAGGCTATAGGAAGCTGGGAGCTTGGGCTGGTAGTTTGTTGTGGAGATCGGTCGTAAGGTTGACGTCGGCTAAAGGAATCAGAAGCAATGATGGGGTGAGGGTATTCGGGAGATTCAACTGCTATTATTATCGTGGAAGTCTCAGCTTGCAGAGTAGAAGAGGAAGAAGGATATGGGATTTGCTACTGATCAGGTTGGCAGTTTCCGCTCGAAAGAGCAAGGATGTAAGGTAAGGGAAGCTTGTAGCCCAATGGATTTCGGCAAAGTGTAGAGATCGACGATGGGGATTTTGGGGTCGAAGGAAGAAGGCTATGGAGTTGAGTGGGTATGCAGCTTTGGAGGAGTTAGGGGGCACCCTTTTTGATAGACAGAGAGTAGAGGAGGAGATGTTCAGCTGGTTCACGTGGGATGAGAGAAAACTTAAAGGCTTCATTCATTTGGTATTTAACGACAAGAAATGAGTCTAGTTGGCACGGGATTTAAGACGCATACCCAGATGAAGAGATGCGAGTGCAGCTAGATTTTATGGATTCTTCGACAGAACGAGGTGACGAGGTAGATCATTGCTGCTCTACATTAATTTTTGATTTGGACTTTTTTTTGTTTTGTTTTGGATAATACATAGAGGTCAACGGAGTCATGCACTACTGCCGTGGTGACTTCATTTCCAAGCCTGCATCAAATGTACCATTTAGATAACTCAGGATACTACTCATAACTTGCCAATAACTCCTTCCTAGATTATGTATAAACCTGCTCACAATGCCACCTGCTTCTGCAATGTCTGGATCGAGCTGTTCCAAAATCAGATCAAACCATGCTACAAGTGCCAAGTAACCTCGAGGCGAGGTATTCTTAACCACTGAGGAGAACACTTCATCATAAGCAATCCATTTTCGTTGTGCAAAGCCTTTAGCCACCAACTTAGCCTTGTATTGCATATGAGCTCCATGAGATCCTTTTTTGCACACATCCATTTGCACCCAATAGCACTCTTCCGTAGATCACAATCAAGATTGTCCACCGCTTCCTTATAGTGACTAGGAATTTCAGCCTCCATGGCTTAAAGTGCAAATGCAATGTAATTCCTCAACAAAGCTAGTTTTGGGACATTATTGTGTCCGTATCTGTTCCTTTCAATAAACTCATAAGCAAGAATCTCTTCAACATCATCTTCTACCTCTTGATCTGCAGTTGAATCGGATACCTAAGCATAAATGGTTTTCCTCTGTAGAGCAAACGGAGTTACATCAAACTCCAACTTCTTCTGTGTATCTGTGGTCCCAGTGGAACTCTCCACCTGCTTAGAGTCCTGAGACTTCAACATGCTTACCTCATCGAAAGTAACATCCCTGCTAATGACAATATTCTTCTCTATCGAATCATAGAGTTTAAAGCCCTTGAATACATGCTTGAAGGCAATAAAGACCGCCTTCTTTGCCTTTGGTTCTAGTTTATCGTTCTGAACATGATAATAAGTTGGACACCTAAAGACTCTCAAGTGCTCATAATCTCTATCAGGATGTCGCGACCATATCTCTTTTGGGGTATTCTTCTCAATAGCTGCATAAGGTAGACAGTTCACCAAGTGACAGGCATAGTCTATTGCCTCAACTCAATAAATACTATCCAACCCAGCATTGGATAACATATACCGAACTTTCTCCACCAAAGTTTGGTTCATCCTCTTTGCCACCACGTTTGGTTGCGATGTCTCTCTTATAGTGAAGTGATGATTTATTCTAGATCTTTGGCACTCCTGCAAGAATGCAACCGAAGTGTATTCGCCCCCATTTTTTTATCTGATATATCATATCCTTTTGTCAATCTAAGTTTCAATCAACTTCTTTCAAGTTCTGAAAATCTCTAATACCTCGCTCTTGCATCTCATGGTGTACACCCAAACATATATGGATAAATAAAATTAAGTATCGCCGCCTGCCGAATGATGTTGTCTTAGTTGGGCCCCAAACATCTGTGCGAACATACTCTAAGATACCCTTTGTACTATGAATGGCAATACAAAAGGATATGCGTGTCTTTTTTCCCAAACAAACAATGTTCACAAAGATCAAGCTTATATGTGCTTGCTCCTTTAATTAATTCTTATTTCACCAAAGCCATAAGAGAAGCCTCTCCAGCATGAGCTAGCCGCATATGCCACAATACAATGGTATCAGAAAAATCATCAGTAACAGCAGCCGTTCCAATCATTGTTCTTCCCTGAAGGTAGTAAAAGTTGTGGCGACGAACTCCTTTCAAATAAATCAATGCTCTAAGATATATCTTCATAAATCCTGCCTCCATGACTACCTTCTAGCCCTTGGTCTCTAAAGCCCCAAAAAACAATAAATTCTTCCTAATATCTAGAACGTGCCTCACATTAGTCAGTTCTCTCATAGTATCATCATGCATTCGGATTAAGATGCTCCCTACACCAACTGTATGGCAAGTCTTATCATTTCCCATTATCACAACACCACTATCAAGCTCTTTGTAGGTATAAAACCACTCTCAAGTGGAACAAATGTGATAGGTAACACCAGTATCCATAATCCAGCATAAACCATCTAAATACAAACTCTGAGAGATTGCATATAGTGATATATTTGAATCTTCATCACGCTCATCCATGCTAAGATTAGCCTCAATGGAAACTTCCATTTTCTTCTCCTTCAGCTTTAGGCAATCTTTCTTCCAATGACCAATCTCCAAACAGAAAGCACATTGATTTTTCTCAAGACTGTGCCCATGAGATTTGTACTGCCTGTTGTCACCCTTTTTCTTCTTCTCATATCTTCCTTATTGGAGTGTGAGAGCCTCAGATGAATCTATGTTTGTAGACTCCTTGTCCCGATGCCAGAACTCGTGATTCAGCAATGCAGTAGTCACCTCCCCATAATTTAAGACCTTCCCATGAATGAGCGTCATCTTGAATTTTCCGTACTCATCCGAGAGTGAATTGAACAGAAGAAGCGCCTTGTCTTCATCTCCAATCCTCCTCATCCATATTCAAAAGATCTGCCAACAGTTTTGTACAGTCATTCAAATGCTCATCAATTGTAATCTCATACCTCATCTGAAACCTATAGAGCCGTCGTTTCATATAGAGATGATTCGCCATGCTCTTCAAGTCTTCATCAAATATTTATTCTCCAAAGTCTTCCACATCTTCACAGCTTAAGTCTCCATCATCACCCCGTACTTGATATACTGAAATAGGCAATTTATAATCAAGTCACAAGCACTTTGGTTTATCTTGAGTCAATCTCTCTGAAATCTCCTTATGATGTTTTATCACTCTTCAGATCTTCCTCCGGATTCAAAAAACCCAGCGTATCCATCACGTCACATCGTCACATGCCAAAGTTTTATTTGTCGTCAAATTTCATCGCATCAATTTTGACGGGATGTGTAACCACCTGATGAATCGACGCCTTCTCCACCGATGAGGTGGATGTATCCATGGCTTCATAAGATCTCATAGCTTACACTAAATTGCAGCTATCTCATGTAACCGAATTTACACCAATTCGGGTCTGTTCCTCTATCTGGACGAACCACGCGAACAGAGAGATACTTTATGTTCTTCAAATCACCGCCATAAATCCCACCAGAATTCAGAATCCGACTCTGACACCAATTATTGTGCAAACAATCGTAGCGAAAATTAAATTCACACAACATAAACACAATAAATATGGCAATTTATGTAGTTCGGTGAAAATACCTACATCCACGGGGAGGGGATCATCTGGGAGGGGATGATCATTTCACTATATTGAAGAACAATAGAAAATTACAATGAGTTCTCTCTCCCCACTCATACAACAGTAGCCTCAGGACTCTATTTATATATTTGAGTCAAAATAAATTAGAAAAAAGCTTCCAAATCTAATTTTAATCAAATCCCAATCAAATTTCTAATTAATGTAATAATTAGACCCCTAATTAATGCATCGATCAAATTTCCAATTAAATCTCAAATCAAATCAACTTAATTAGAGAAATAATCTATTCCCTAATTAATTACAATAATGAGCCATTAAAAGCTTTCCAAATAAAAGCTTATTTCAACTTGAAAATATTCCAAATCAACATTAGGTTCTTCCAGCTTTGGATGTACAAGTTCTTCCAGCTTGGGAGATACAGGTATTTATTACACAATGTAGTTTCGGGATTTCGGCCAGGAGTATTGGTAGAGGAATTGATGGAATCGTCCATATAGAGGTATAAAGGAACAAGAAAATAAACGAGCTAGATGATAAGCTACGGGCTCTCAAACCATGAAGGCAAGCAATTCCAGCAGGATTAGCTAAGAAGAGAATAAAAGGTTATAAATCCCGTGAAAATTCATAGAGCAGTAAGTAAAAATAGAATTTCACAAAGTGTTTTTTCGTTGAGTATAACACAGAGCTTGAGCTGTATATATAGGTAGCTTGGTAGATAATGTTTGTGCCTATTACAGAGGTGATTGGAGACGGGTAGATGAGATTCCACAATCCGTTAATGATGAAGAGTCAGGATTAATCAGTGAGAAGACGTGCCTGCTGCACAACAGGAAAGCAAGAGCTGCGGCATAATAGAGAAGTGGCATATTACTTGTCACGTCTTTTGTAAACTACTAAAAAAGAATATGATATAAAAAATCAGAGTTTATGATTGATATGTTTATTGAGCAGGTATGAATTGATACAATTGCATTAATTTTTACACTTGATGGAAAGACTGCTGTTGTTTGCGACCGTCTATAAGAGCAGTTGCAATTTGTAATCCAAAGAATCGACACGCAGCAGCACAATTCCTAATTCTGACCCGCTTACAACTATGAAATTTGGATAATTTAAAAAAAAAAAAAAAAACAATAAGTAAGACAGAGCACTTATAATGGATGGATCAATTGTCTGTCGTCATCCTTGCGTTGCCGGCAACGGTGCTGCAGCCGAATCTTTTGGTTGGAATTGGAGGAGATGCGACTTGCCGGCCTCATCGGGTAGTGTGCGCCGGGCGGGGAAAAGGGTGGCCCAGCTTGTTGTTGTGAGTGTGAATCCAAGTATGAAGATCACGGTGGAGACAGCCAAGATGGCGGACCCAATATACACTCCGTCTTTAACGAGGTAGCAGTCTCCGTCCAGCCATCCTCTCCCGTATGCCTGCTTATTGCTCATGCCTGATGCAGTGCCCAGCAGGATGGCGGCCAATCCAAAGCTCAACCTGAACAATTAAGTCATCCATCATAGTTCTACTTAGATTATGATCTGAACAAAGCATTTATTACTTAATTGACAACGAGCATAATTAAGCCTACCAGGATAGAACGAGAAGTGCAATCGAAGCTGACCGCCTTCTCCTGGAATTGCCGGAGCAAATTCTGACTCCAGCTGCTGAGGTTCCCGCGATCTGCGCGACAGATAGGCACACCAACGCTGTTATCCCTAACGCGAAAGCCGAGCTCCTCTGCAGCGAGCAGAGGCTTCCATCCAGTTTCAAGTCTCTTGTGGCCTGGGGATCGGGAGCATGTAATAATCCATGGATGATAAGATAGGATGAATAATTAGCTAATCAATAAATCACTAGCAAGGAAATATATGTGATCCGATGGTCACCTTGGATTTAGTGAATTCGGCAGCCACGCAGCAGGAGAAGGCCACCATGCCCAAAAGCAGAACTGCGGAGGAGATGGAAAGCTGCGCCACGCGATATCCGGGCTTCTCCATTTCGAGAGGGCAGCTATAGGGAGGGGTCGCTAGATCTGGGATAGGGATGCTTTCCTTGAGGGATTTTGCTTGGTTGGGAGAAAAGTGATGATTGTTTCCTGCCTCCCTGCTTGTGCTTGACTTTTCCTTTTATGGAGAACTTCCTCCATTTAATAGTAGCTGGAATTTTGGAAGGACAAACGATCCCCTCGCTGACTCGGCTATTTAGATTGTTGGAATGGGGAAGAGGACTGAGTACTGGAGAAGCCTTCCGAATTTGAATCAGCACCTTGATAATAATGTTTTAATGAACAACGGCCGGCCCTCCGAGGAGACGGTCAATGGCTGCTGCGTGCCGATGAGGGAAAAAATAAAAATATCTCTCTCCACTTGGTTGCCAGAGGAATGTAGCAGGAAGATTCGACTTTTCTGGGGTGGATTTCAGCCTCGAGCCTATCTACCTTTCGATGAGCGCGGTGTCGTTCCATTGCCACCAAATGACTGGAAAACTCCATGCGATGAAAGGATCTAAAAGAGGGCAAATTATTGGGTCAGGTGACCGAACGCAGAGATAGGTTCGGATAATAATAAAATATTATTTTAAAATTAGCGCAACTAAAGCGCAACTAAAGCGCAAC